CCAGCTCTGCACCTTGTTATCTTAGTTACACGTGGCAGATTCTTGCTGTTAGTTAGGGATTTAATTCCCCCAAGTCTTCCTAAGATCAGGGTATTTCTTCCTCATTCATAGGATGAGGGCATCTCTGGATATGTCAACATTTATTGCTCATCCTCAATTGCCCAGAGGGCAGTTAAGAGTCAACCACATTGCTTTGGGTCTGGAGTCACATGTAGGCCAGAATTCCCTCCCTAAAGGACATAGAGAACCAGATAGGTTCTTCCGACAATCGACAACAGTTTCATTGTCATCCTTAGACCCTTAATTCTAGATTCTTTATTCAATTCTAATCCATGGCAGGATTTGAACCCAGGTACCAGAATATTACCTGAGTTTCTGGATTAATAGTCTCACAGTAATATCACTAGGCCATTGCCTCTCTGAGGCTGACTCGGACAATCTCAGATTTTGGTCAGGTCTCCGCCCATGTTCCCTCTAATTACTTTTGCCGCTGCAGGGACCCCCAAGGTTCAGGTGTTACAGCGAATTCCAGAATCTGAAGTCAGAGTGCTCGCATGCCAGTTGGCCGTGAGCAAGATATGTGCAGACCCTCCGAGAAGTTGTATAGTGACAGTTAAAAAGGAGCATTAGCCTCAGCTACCTTCATTAAATTCTGTCCTGTCAAGAAAAGGACAGCAATCTCCAACAACACTGAAAGTAATCCTGCTGCACCTTTTAAATTTGCTGGATGTAACAGGTTTTGTTATTTATGGATAAATGAGACAATGAGAGCATTGAAAACACAACATTATTATGACTAACGTTATTACAGACTAGTCCCATATAAAATTTATGGTGGCACAAGTGGTAAGTGGTGCAGCCTTGGGAAGATCTGAGGAAACCCATGTAAAAGGTTTGCAAGATTCCACACATCTCATGCTATAATTCCATGGCACACTGATTTGGAGAAAAGAATGGGACCAAAATAAGGCAGATTCCAAATATATCTGGGAAATTTTGTTTTCTCAAATGCTGGCTGAACAACCAAAATTGGCAACTAGGCAGAAAGGCCATCCTCTTGCACACGACCCTCTGAGAGAAAAAGATTTACCTCATCTCTGTTTTAAAGGAGCAACTCCCCCAAGTTTGATGCTGAGGTCTTAATTTTTGCCAATGAAGAAACATCCTCTCCACAACAAACCCGTTAGTACCTCTCAGGATGTATATGTTTCAATCAAATTGCTTCTTAAACTTGTAAAATCCAGCAGATAAAAGTTCACCTGTACAACCTTTCAGCTTAAGACTAAATGCCTAGTCCAGGTATTAGTCCGGTAAACCTTTTCTGAACTGTTTCCAACATATTTACATCCTTCCTTCAATAAGCTGACCAGTAAAATTATCAGGTCAAATAAAATGTCATCAAAAGCCAGATACTGGAGATACATTTTAAAAGATTCTTTACTTACTGTACTACCAGTTCATCCTTAATCAGACCTGCTCCTTCAAGAGTCATGACACAATTCTTCAGACTATCAGGAATGGTGTTCTGAAAGCTGATCTCTACGTACACAACTTTATTCACCATAACGTGGGTACTCGACACCTAATGAAATAAATCAATTTTAAATATATTGAAACTATCCTTCATTCACTTTGAACAAGCAAGATTAATAATTACATGGCCTTTTACATACATCTCACGTGTGACATAATACTTGGAATTAAACAGAAGTCTTCCCAACCTATAAATGCTGTGTTACACAATGTGGATTTAGATTCAGATATTTTCCAAAGTACTACATAACATGCTGGCAAAGGTCAGCTAACAATTCACAAGGAGAAAATATAGTTGTCCCTCCTACATTGACCATTCAAGGCCATTAGTGTCTTTTCAGGCAACTTGTCTGTGAAGGCAACCATCCTTGACATTGGCAGTTAAGGCCTTCAGGGACAAACAGGCACGTAACAGGTGAAAGGCCCAGCCCTACAGAATCTAGTTAGCGTACTGTGCTTTGCTTTTCAGCATTTCTACTACTAAATACATGTTGTGAATGCTGATCAGGAGCAAGAACAGTAGGAATGGGAAAAGGATGTTCTGTCCCTCGGATCTGGTCTGCTATTTAACTAGTTCAAGGCTGGTTTGCACTTCAACTCAGTTTTCCCACCTTTGCTTCCTGTTTCTGATGAAGGGTCTAGGCCCGAAACATCAGCCTTCCTGCTCCTCTGATGCTGCTTGGCCTGCTGTGTTCATCCAGCTCTACACCTTGTTATCTCAGATTCTCCAGCATCTGCAGTTTCTACTATCTTTGCTTCCTGTTTGTTTGCTAAGGGTTTCAAACAACAAACTATTTCAGTTCTGGCAGATACTATTCCCTTCATCTCCATAACCTTTCGGGAGATAGCATTGCAAATTTCTGCTACACTTTGAGAGAGAAAATGTGTAAAATTGCTCATTGTGGGTTTTTTTTGGGGTTGTGCATGTTAAGCACAGATTAATCCCATAATAAACAATGAGAAATTGGGCAATGTATGTCAATGATGAGCTATATATTTTGTATGACAAATGTTTCGGCTAGCTTCAAACACTGTATCCAGTTCCTCATCCAGTTCCACTCCTTAGCTCAACAACTGTTGAAATACTTATTTGTTACCTCTGGGGTTTACTATTCTAATGCAGTCCTACCTGCTGTAAACTTAAAATCCTGTTTATGACACCCTGCTTCCTGTTTCCTTATTCACATCAAGCCTCACCTATCCCTCATCCGTCTGTTCATTGAGCAACATTGGCTTATGGTCAAGCGACACTCTAATTTTAAAATTCTCAGCCTTGTTTTCAAAACCTCCATGTATTTTTCTAATCCATCCGACAACGGCACCCATCTAATTTTGGGCACTTCAATATCTCCAATTGTAATTACGCCACAACTGGCAGCCATGCCTTTGGATCCCAAGGCCATACACTCTGAAGTTGCATCCCTAATATGCTTTGTCTTTCTATCGCTGCTTTGTTTAGAATACTCCTCATAATCTCCCTCTTTGACCAAGCTCTTAGCCACCTGGCCAAAGATTATTAATACTGTTTCCATGTCTAAAAATGTCAAATTTTGCTTTTAATTCTGTGAATTAAGTTTGGTCATTTTATGATGTTAAATACACTAGTAACTGCAATGTAAGGGCTCTAGGGTCCATGAAATGATGTCACAGGGTTGATCCCCGTTGGGCATAAATAGTAGAGTATGGGCAGAGTTATTTCAATAGAGATTGAAGATATAGAAAATTTGAACAGAGAGCACATGTAGCAAACAGTCTTAATGATGTAACCGTAACATTACAGCCTGGTATATCTTGAGCTAACATTTTTTAATTGTATTTAGTATTAATATGCAATAAATGGAGTTCCTGAAAAGCAGAAGTCAGAAGACAATTCTTGTCTCTGCCTCCCTCTTAAGCAGTCTGTATTGAACAAAAACCCAACTCATGGGTCTAGGCACAAGCCCGCATGACAAAAGAACACATACAAGTTGCTGTTCTTGTTTTGCAAACTTGAGTAACGATCTGATATCATAATGTTCACCACTGTGACTAAATCCACAAATGTAAAATCTGTCCTTATGTAATAGGTCAAAAGAAATTTGAACTCTGAATAAATGTTCCTCAATCAGTGTTGGATTCCATGGTGGAGATTCAATGAGCTGGAAACATTCTTCACCATTACCTTAATACTTAGGGAAGGGTTGATCAGAGAAATGTCTTTTACTGCAGATGCACTGGTCTTTGACTTTACATCAGTTACTACAGACATCAGCTTCATCACGTTGAACATGTCAGGGAACAAACCATATTCTTTGTAATTTATTTTCAAAGGGATTTCCAAATCTTAAAATAGGAGGCAAGGAAAAAAGAAAGTGTAAAATTGAGGTGTTTAAACTTTTAAGAATTAAATCACAGTACATGAATAAAAATGGTACATTACTAAAAATATGGATTAACATTATAAAAGACCCTACCCAAATCAACTCTCTTTGCTGACATTGCTGGTGGATATGGGAACTCATTGCAAGGAGAAATAATACTTTAGACAAGTTATTACAAAGCATCCACCCTCAGCAACGCAATTTAATAAAAACCAAAAGAACTGCGGATGCTGTAAATCAGGAACAAAAACAAAAGTTGCTGGAAAAGCTCAGCAGGTCTGGCAGTATCTGTGAAGGAAAGAAACAGAGTTAACGTTTCGGGTCCGGTGACCCGAAGGGTTCTGAGGAAGGGTCACCGGACCCGAAACGTTAACTCTGCATTCGTGAAGGAGAAAACAATTTAATGGTCTATACATCTGGAATCCGAGGAGGATCATGTGTTTTTCCCATATGGGGTGAAACAGCTTTTCATCCACCATGTGCCTAACTACAGTCAGTGGGGTCAAAATCTATTCTAAATATGTAGAGGTCTACATTCCAGCATTTAGCCCATAGTCTGGAAAGTTAAGTCATTTCAAGTGCTCATCCAAGTACTGTTTAAAGGTTGCAATGTTTCCCACCTCAACTACCCACCCAGGCAGTGCATTTCAAATTCTTGGTAAAAGATGTTTGTGTCAAAACTATCAAGATCATCTCATCACATCTTGTATGTTTTTCTCAAATGATATGGCAAGATTCCTGCTAGGCAAATGTAAGGCCTCCATTAATGGTCGTTATTACTTATTACACCTCAGGTTGCAATCTTACTGAGAACTCAACTCGCAAACCGGCCATTGGAAAAACTCAGCATGGAAACCAGAGCAAATTCAACTCATTGTTTGCTTCAAGAAGCCTCCATGATGGATATGAGCGCCAATATTTGTACCACATCTCTGATCCACTTAAGGGATACTTCGACAATTCAATGCTGCACATCGACCTGCATTTTTCTTGATAGCTATTGGTGTAGCAAGGACACTTTGTACTCAAGGGCACACACACAGCTCACGGATTGAACCAGGCTGTATCTCAGGCTGCTCACTTTGGTCTCACAGTGCTCACTTACTCTGAATCCACCTGGATGCTTTCGGTATCCATGTTTTGCACAGTATTTCCTTTTTGGGCATTGCCCCCTCAGCCAGAGATACCTAGCTTATATTACTGCTGTCTTGTCTTGCTGTTTAGTGCAGACAAAAAGCCAGAAGTTTTACCACTGTTGCCAGCAGGCCTCAGTCCAATTCAGGGGGATCATCTTCACTCAACAGGTCTTGGCATAGTAAGTCAAGGGCAGCCCCCTATACCAGTCCAGGTCCTGTTTGTGGCTGTCAGAGTCAGAATTCTCTGCTAATAAAGGGTGAGGACCCGAATTATGGTATGAGCGTAAGCAGGTAACATACTAAATATATTGGCGATAGATCAGGAGCCTTGGTGGGAGGTGGGAACCAGTAGCAGAGGTACAATGAGTGTAAGGTATCAGAAAAAGATGGTGGCCAGAGTATAGAAGGTTATTGCCCTTCTTTCTACAGGGCTGGGCATTCCTTCAGATGCTGACATTGCCCTGAACCAGGTAGAAACCTCAGACCAGGCTGGCATGTTCTAGTGTCATGGCCTCCACTGCTGGTCCTGGGGGAAGAGGAAGTCCCATCTGTGTACCACCTTTCCAGCAAGAGCTTCAAGACCATGCCTGCACGGTGGGCTGTATATTGTTTCCGGTCTGCCATATAGAGGACAAAAATCAAGAACCATGCAGGGCAGCTCCAGAAGAACAGTGCATGTCTGGGTACACAACGCTGTCGGGGATGCTGGTCCACTCTCCATTGAGTGGGGAGTTGCTCTGGGAATGGGGTGTGGTAAGATGGGGTGGGAGTTGGATGTGTTACTCACTGTAAGAGATGAAATGGTAATTACTGCAGTGAAAAAGCTTGCTTGGCTGCGCAATGAGAATCACTCCACTAAACTCAATGCCACTTACCCTTAGCCAAAAACAAAAACTGTACGATTCAGCCCAGAGTTGACATTGCAGGCTAATGACTTTTCATCAGTTCTGATGGAAGATCATTGACCTGAAACATAGGCCTGAATTTTCATGTCAGCTACTCCTCACACCTCATAATCAAAATGTCAGTTATCAACCCAACAAAAACCTGGCTCCTCCCCAAGGATATTACAACGAGATCTTAATTGTTCCTCAGCGCATTTAAACTAAAAGGAGTTTTGTGTGAGGGATGCAGTAGAGGTATAGTCAGGACTTGGAAATTATCTGGACAATGACCATGCTTTGCAAATCTGGTTTATAAATCCTTTTTTGCCTCTTTGTAGAGACTGCCTGACAAGCTAAGCACTTCCAGATTTCCAGATTTTGCGGTATTTTGCTTTACTATGTGTTCTGTCCTCAATTTATTAAGATCGGTACAGATTTAAACAATTCTCAACAGAAATTATAATTGCAACAATAGAAACTAACTTAGATGCTAACACCTATATGCCGTTGCTTTATCACAGTTTATTATTTTAACAGAGTTATATCTCTGAAAAATAATTGATAAAGAATTGTCATGCAGAAGAATCATCTTAAAGCATTTTGCACAAACTGAGTATTTTGCAAAGTTCTGAGGAAGGGTCACTGGACCTGAAACATTAACTGTGATTCCTCTTCATAGATGCTGCCAGACCTGCTGAGCTTTTCCAGCAACTTCGGTTTTTGTTGCACAATCTATCGTTACTGCATGCTGTGCACACGAGTATAAAAGTTAGTCTGCACATATGGTGTCATGCTTGGTGCTGAAATAGATAACTAGTTAACCTAATTTGAAAGAGTTGCTTGAGATGAATGATAACTAATGTAAAAGTAGAACTACCTACTGTTCTGTAAATATCTTTACTATGTGCCTTGAACAGGCAGACAATACTTCAATGTCACAATTCATCTAATGGACAGTGTTTCTGAAAATACAGAACGCCCTCAGAACTACACAGAAACCCTGAAGTGGGGCTTAAATTAATGCCATGTGACTATTTAATAATTGATCCAAATTGGTAAACATTCATCAGTCCTGCCATATAACTACTACTATTGTTTAAGTTTGAAGACAACAGTTCTTTCATTACCTTTATTGGGGCCGATAGTGATCTCCTGTTTATGCTTCTTGAAACATCCCTTCTCTGTTATTCCATTGTAGCTTCTTTTCCTAGCCCAAAATTGGAGGTTGCAGGACTTTTCCTCTGCTGTCTTGTTGGAAACAACCATGGAAAGGGCAACTGGTTTGCCATTGTAAGCAGGTACCTCAGTGGTCATAGACAAACCCAGTACCTTGTCTGGCACTGGGAGATTTTGTGCTCTATTAGCTTTTTCAAAAACCTCTGCTTCTTCAATGGAGCCTTAGAGTTTAAAAAAAAATGCTCTATTAAATGAGAGAATATAAAACTTTAAAAAAAAACATAAAAACAGATACAGGAGCAGGACATTATTCCTTTCAAGTCTACTGCGCCATCATGGCTGATATTCCAAATCAGTAGCCTCTTTCCACTTTCTCCCCATTACTTTGATCCCTTTAGCTCTAAGAATTATGTTGAACGCTTTCTTGAAAATGTCAATGTTTTACCCTCAACCGCTATCTGTGGCAAATAACTCCACAGGCTCACTGTCTGGAGGAAGAAACTTTTCCTTATCTCAGCTCTAAATAGCCTACACTATATTCTTAAACAGTGATCACTGCTTCTGAAGTCTCCGATCATCAGGAACATCCTTCCTGTGCTTACCCAGTCTAGTCCTGTTAGAACTTTACAGGTTTCTAGGAGATGACCCCTCATTCTTTTAAATCCCAGTGAATACAGTCCTAAATGATCAAATCTGTCCTCATATCAGTCCTGCCATCCCAGAAATCAGTCTGGTAAACCTTTCTTGCAGTCCTCCTTAGCCAAAACATCCTTCTTTAGATAAGGAGACCAAAACTAGACACAATACTCCACATGTTGTCTCACCACGACTGTATACAATTGCAGCAGGACAACCTTGCTCCTGTATTCGAATCGTCTCACTATGAAGGCAAACATAACATTTGCCGTCTTCAACAATTACTGCACCTGCATGCCTAATTTCAGTTGTTGCTGTACAAGAACCCGCGGGTCTCGTTGCATGTCTGTTTTTCCAAACCTATCGCCAATCAAATAATTATCTGCCTTCCTGTTTTTGCTACCAAAGTGGATAACCTCACGTTACACTTCATCTGCCATTTGTCCACTCGCTCAACTTGTCCAGTACCAAACAGGTTCGCCTATTTTTATGATGTAGTCTATTGACAACATTTTTTCTGACAGTTTCATAGGCAGTACCATTGACAAATTAAACAACTGATTTAAAAGTGAACTATTTACTACATGGACCATGCACATAGATCAGCTTCTTATCATAATTTACACCACAAATAACTGCCATCCTGCTTAGTTTCCTGTTTTAAATGAATTTAATAGTTTGTAACTATAGTAAAATCATTTATACATACTCCTTCATGTGTCCTAAGCTTGTGCAACAACCAGTTTTGTCTTAACTTAGTGAAAATTCCATTTACGTTGCGGATGACACAAAAGTACATGTGAAGGCAAGCAATGAGGATGACACCAGTCTACAGAGGTATTAAGATAAGTTAAATGTATGGGAAAAATGTGAGGCAGATGAAATTTAATGTGGGAGAAGGTGAGGTTTTGCACTTTGGCAGGGAGATAGAGAAATTGAATATTATTTAAATGATGAAAGAGTGCACGAAGCTGCAACACAAAGATTTGGGATCCTTGTGTGTGAATAACAAAAAGATAGCATACAGGTTCAGTGGAAAATTGAGAAGGCAAATTAATTGTTAGCCTTTACTTCAAAGGGAGTGGAGTATAAAAATAGGAATGTCATACTAAATTAATATGAGGCACTAGTCAGACCACATCTGGAATAACGTGAATGCTTTTGGTCCTTTTAATTAAAGGAAGGTATATTGGCTTGGGAGCAGTCCAGAGTAGGATCACAAGTTTGATTCCAAAGAAATATTCTAATGAACAGAAATCAGTGGTTTGTGCCTGCACTCACTGGAGTTTATGAGCATAATCTTTTTGAAGCATACAAGATTCTTAGGGAAATTCACAGAATCCCTATAGTGCGGAAGCAAGTCATTCAGCCCTTTGAGCCCACACTAACTCTTTGAAGAGCATCACTAGACCCAATACCCCCACCCCATCCATGTAACACTGCATTTCCCATGGCTAATCCACCTAGCCTACACATCCTTGCACGCTATGGGCAATTTAGCATGGCCAATCTACTCAACCTGTGCATCTTTAGACTGTGGGAGGAAACCGGACCATCCGGAGGAAACCCACACAGATATGGGGAGAAGGTGCAAACTTGACACAAACAATCACCTGGACACAGGGAATTCTGTAAAATCAAAACTAATGCACTCTCAAATCTCTACAGCTACTTCTTTTAGAGTATCACTATGTTGACCATCAGGTCCAGGGACTCCTTGACATATACTCCCGCTAATTTTGCCAGGTTTTGTTACAAACATTGATTTCTTTATTCTCATTAGATCCATGATTTCCTATTATTTCTGACATGTTTACTGCATCTTTAATTGAGAAGGCAAACAAAAAAAATTAATATCTCTGCCAGTTTGCTACTCCCCCATCAAATACATGTCCTTTGTATTTCTTGCTAGTTTACGCGCATATTTTATTTTGCCCCTCTTGATCTATTTTTGATCACCCTTCCCAGCTTTTAAAATGCTCTTAATTTTCTGTTTCTAGATTCAGTTACCAATTGCTTCCCACAAAGCACTCTTGTACACCAACTTATTTTGCAAACAACAGTCTTAAACACAATTAGAGGTTAAACAAAATTTTCCTTTTGTAATTTGCTTTAATTCTTACCATCAAGATATTTGTAATTGCTGGTGATGTCCTCACGTAGGTCAGAACCACATGATTTTGTACTTATATGGTGACCCACGCGTGATTCATGAATACCTACTTTCATTTTCTCTCCATCTTCAAAAACCAACCAATCAACACAATGTGCGTTTACTTCAGCAAAAACAAATGGGACATCATATTTCATATCAACCTCTCCTTCTTTGACTGCCTTTACTGAAGCTGGTCCGCAGCAGTAAATTCCTAAAAAGCAGAGGAAATTTGAGTCAATTACGGAAATATAACAAGAATTTTAAAAGATTTTTATGGTCTGCACATGGAACTTAAACAGGTTATTTATCATATGCACATTCACACTTGGAAGTGCATTTCCAATGAACATAGAGCTATCCTTTTAATAAGGATTTCAATAAATTTCAGTACTTTGCAGCTTAATGAGAATGCTGCAATTCAATTATTCTTTGGTACCACAAATTCATAATCTCTGTATTTTATTCCTAAATGAGGGTAAAGTGCTAAGAAATGAGCATGTTATATAGATGAGGCTTCTGCTCTCATAATATAGAAGATTAATGGGCAATCTAATTCAGATTAAAATATTTAGCGGAATTGAGAGGGTAGAGAAAAAAATACATTTTTCTGGAATGAGTACAAAAAGAACGTCATAATTTGATCTAGGACATTTAGAAGTGATGTCAGAAAATATCTCTTCACACAAAATTGGTGCTAATCTTCCCCAAAACATTTTTGTGGCTGAAATTGCTACATTTTTGTTATGCAAGAATATTGAAGACTATGGAATCAAGGCAGGCAGATAGAATTACGATTTGGATCAGACACAACCTAATCAAATGGCAGAATAGACTTCATGGCCAGAATGGTCAACCCTTGTTTCTATGTTCCTAAAGTGTTGAATTTTCATTCATAATTCGCACTATGTTCCCTAATGGTATTTTGGTTCTTTACCATCACTTTCCTCCTGTGGTGTTGCATCCACTGCCTGCCAACCGTCATAACCTGGCTCCAGGTCATATCGTGCCATCCAACTTTCGACCCATACATGGAAATTCCTAAAGCCAAAACAAAAATGTAAGATATTATATTGCTGAAACTCTCAGAAACAAAATCTATCCATTCTATCCAAGGAAACAGCACAAATGCTGACAGATTCTTAACATCAAATACTGACAGCCTCCAAGAAAACCTAAGCAAATATTAATTTACAGATTATGACTTTTTATTGCAAATATTGACCCACTCTAGAAAACATCTACCAAAACAATCAGAATGTATTTCCGGAAATTATTTATTATTATTAACCAGCAACAGAAAGCCTCTACTGCAAAAACAATTAATGCAGAAATTTGATGATCTGATCCGTAAGTTGAGACTTTCTCTGTCCAGTTTGGCAACATTTGTTATATATTGAGAGTTATGATTAGGACTACTTATTGGTTCCTAAGATTGCTATTATAATTTTAGCCCCTACTTGCCAAATTCAAAATCTTTGATCATTGCTCAATATCAAGGACTAATTAATCTCCAACTCCCAAAAAAATGATGTTCAGTATCCAGAAATGTGTTTTTTTGCAGTTAACATTGAATTAATAAATTGGTTACTAAATATTCCAAATAACTACTTCATGTGTGATGAACCTTGCACTGTCAGGAAAGCATTAAAAACATTTCTGTCAAATTCAGTTTTTTTTTCCTGATCTACACTGCTTATATTAACACTTACTTTGGCAAAAACCCCAAGGTTAATGGGCCATGAATGATAAAGCTCATGTAAATATGTGGCTAAATGAACAGCCCCACAACATGGGAGGATACAAATGAATCACCTTTAACTATCTTATTAAATGAAAATTAAGAATCTCTTGTGTCTGCTCAACTGTCAGAACACAAACAACCTTTTCTAATTGTACATCAATCCATGTGAAATGTTGACTGCTGCCTCCCTATTTAAATATGGACAGTCAAACTTCTGTTTTCGTATTACAATTATTCATTCACTCCTGCTCCCATTAACACTAGTGATTGATGCCATAAAGTTTTCTCCACACCAAGTTTACTATAATGCCAATGTTATTTTATGCAGCTTCCATTTGTTAACAAGATACAATGCAGCTTCAGTATGCATTTGGTCTTCAACTCACCAAATGCTATCATTCGATTCTCCCATAGATTCTCCTTCTACATTATAGTATTCATCAATGGTTAAGTTTGCATCAGTATCATGAGCAGAATTAAAGTTTGTGACCACACGAGTAGGAATTCCCAAGCATCTCAAAACTAAAGAATGAAAAAAGGTAATTAATTTACATTGTTGTTTTCAATAGTGCTAAATTAACTATCCTGTTATATTCACAACTGATTTGACCATCTTACATTTGGATGCAGATTACATCGGTGTGTTCAATGTTTAAATGTAACGATTGTTCTCAATGTGAACTTTAATGTTAATGCAAGAAGTGTGATTCTGGCTAGCAAATTAACATGCAGTTTACAGCCCAATTGTTAGAGCTTTTCTGACCCTTACACAATGCATAATAACATCCGTACCAATAACAACAATTAATATAAAAGATTAAATCCTTCCTCATAATTTAGTCATCAGATTCCAAGCACCACTGAGGTAGACCAATTTAGGCTTGATTTGACCAGCTGAGGGACGACATAATTTTCCTATTTCTTTTGATCAAAGGCCAGCATTTCTTGAGAGTTTCTGTTGATTTCCAGTCTGAAATAGAACCTGTTTTTCCTACAACGGCATTTCAGCCAATTTTGTGTCAGTGAACGTTCAATGGAAATTTCAGGTCCTTAAAAATATACATCTGGAGTTTCTTGTGGGTTCATCTGAACTATAATTACTTCAACAAAAGACTAGCAAAGATCCTGGAGAAGTAATGTAAGTGTTGTTATGATGATCTTGCAGTTTCTCATGATGTTCCTCTGAATTATTGTCAAGTCAGGAGAATTGAAGGAGGTTCCAGGCCAAAACCCTCTTCCACTATTAATATATTTCCTACAAATCTTCTGTGTATAAATATATTTGGAAATATCTATGTACATATCACCATTCACAATTGAACTTAAATTGCAAATCCTTTTTTTGAGGTAGAGCATGCATTGTCCTTGTCTACCTGTGCAGGTGACTGCTGCAAATACCCAGCACTGCCCATAGCGAACTGCCTGGTAGCCGCTGTTATGCCATTTACGAAGAATTGCAACACTTCCATTCCATTTCCCAGGGTACACTCCACCAGTATATGGAGGACTCCATCTGCCAAGTAGTATTCCTCTGTCATCATTGCAATTCACCTGAAAGGATAACATTGGTAATTTGTATTGTTATTACTGTATAGTTACAGCAATAACAAAGACAAAACAATTGATGGAATCAATGCTATTCAATTGTTTACAACCATTTACAGAGATTGCCTATAAAATCTTCTTTTTCTGGTATTAACACTTATTGGTTCAGCCTTTTGCAATAAATTGTAGGATCAGAATTGATTTTACATTGCATTTCAATTGCTGGGAGGTTGGGGGGAACCTTACTGTGCGCAGGTTGGTTGCACATTTACATACCAAAACATTTTATAGGTTGTGAAACTCTTTGGAACATTCTAAACTGCTGTATTATGTCCCATAGTCAGTTTGTCAATATACCTTTAAGAGGCATAATATGTCAGTATAACTTTAAGAGATAAGATCATGACATTGTCACTATGTTATGACGCCATCTCGTCTTAGTCCATGCTACTGAAAGCTCTCTACATTTTGACATTTTAATGATTACCCAAACACAGATGAGCTTGTGAATGTAATGTTTCCATACAACAACTGGTTGTAATAAATGTCCATTGGCTTCTTCAATACCACAATATACATGTCTAGTTCCTGATGTTATGTGCGTTAACATGAGCATTGCTGCATCCATTAAAATTTCCCGACTGGAGACAACATCAAATCATGATAGCAGCAGTGGCCATCAATAGAATTCTCTCTAACATCTTAGTTGCTCATATATGGAGAACTAATTAATACCAGCTTTAGAAACAGAAAATTTGGACAAAGGGAAAGCTTCTCACCCTTTGAACTATATCAATTTCTGTGAATGCTGACAGCTGTATTTTTACCATTTGCCTCTGTCAAGATCTGTGCAAATACTTACCATGGCAGATACAATTCTAGCAATATGAACTGGAAAACCTCTTCTTCGAAGTGCCTTATTTGCATTTTTCTTGTAAGTGGGTGTTTTGTTCAATAATGTGAGGCAGATGTCCAAAACATCATTTTCAAACTGTAATTATATGCATAAATCAATTGGCAAAAATTGTATTAGAAGTCATTGATAAAATTCAGTCCTCAGGTTTCTCTCACTCTACAATATTCCATTTAATTGTACATTTCTTTTCTATATTAAACCATAATATATGAACTGACTTTGATTATGTTTCACTTTGCTGCCTCAATAAGCAAATTTAGATCACTTGAAGTGGTCTACTCTTCGAGGGCCTCAGAATCATCAAACACCTCATTACTCGCAAATGTTTCTCCTCTATTCAAACTTTTAAACTTCGGCTTTTAAATCCAATTTCTCAAAATACCTCATCTCACCTTCTACTTTCAAACTTAGTAGTGCACTACATTCTGCTTTGATTTCTTCAACAAAATCCTACAATCCTCGGCCCACTGCAGTGCTTAATTCATATAAGTGTCTCTACACCATGGATCATTGTTTTGTGCCCATGCTTATTGAATTAAACTGTTTGATTATTCTACAAAGTTGGGTAGAGTACTTGTGGACTGGGAGGCAGGACATTTCAAAGTGGTGTTTGTACAATATTGGTGTTTGTAAAATGCCTGGGAGGAAAGCAGTGCATGTCCCTTTGAAGGTGATGTGCTTTTTTTATGATTAGAGATTTAAACAGAAGGTCTGTGGGCAGCAGCTTGTGGGTTTGCAAGTGCACAGAGAGTCCTCAAATTAAAATATTTGTATCTAAAAGCCAAACAGTTAGCAAGCTAAGCAGCAGTTTTGTTATCAAGACATCAAGTTTTGATTTTAGCGAATCAATTTGAATCAGGCATTTAGAGACCAAAAACTAAGTAAATTTAAATCTGATGGTTTTGACAGCATGGAGCCAATCCTGTTGTAAGAAATTGAGATGTAATCAAGGCTATAAAAGGAGTGGGTAGTTGGAAAATCGGGAGAATTAACAGCTGTCTGCCAGAATTAACACCTCTTAAGAGAGAATCGTTAGCTCTCAGTCTTCTAAATTTCAGAGAAAGCAACATCTAAATCAAAGGTACTTACGGCACAATTAGTTAATAATTCTGACAGAAGAATTCGACCAAGAAGGCATTCCTGACAGACCATTTAGCAGAGAAGGCACAGAGCATTCCGGAAGACACATTATCTGGCTACAATTTTGAGAGACTGAAGTCTGCTTTTTTTTAAATTTTGTAGTTGTGGGACTTGTATTTATCGTAACAGCATACCATCAGAATCTTGTCTTATTTGGGAATAGGTAGTAGCTAGAAGGGGTTTATTTGGTTTGTTAATAGTTTAGTTAATTTGTTCACAGTTAGAGTTAGATAAATTAATTGTTGTTTGTTGATTGTAAAGTGAGTGGCTGGGACTTGCTTTATTTAACTGCTAGAAGTTGCTGAGAAGTAGGTTACACCACTTTTCGCACTCCCTTTTAACAGATAAGGCGAGGTGCTCCTCTCTGGGTGTTTCAGTTTTAGTTATCAGAAGGGGGTCAACCTCCACTTTATAACAGATTGGGGGCTTGTCCTGAATATGGCCAGTTTGGGTCTGGGATTTGGACAGGTTGGGACAATCCCAGTCCAGGATTTGGACCGGTTTGGACAGATCTGGAGCGATCTGGGCAGATTTGAACAGATTTAGGTTAAGAAAAGTCCCATCAGCTTTAAACAGACTTGGGGACTAGTGTCCTAGATCTTTTCTGAAAATAAAAATATAAGTGACAAGTGGAAAATCTGTTTAAACTTGGTTGCTTGTTTTTTGGTTAAATCAAAAGTAGGAAAAGGCTCTTAATATTGCTAAAGAAGTTCTGGGGGGGTCGAAGATGCTTCTCAAATTTGCCAAGTAAGTTTTGACACATAGAAAACACTTTTAGAACTAACAGACAGGCTAGAATTGGGTTTAACTGGGGATAAGAGGAAAGCTGAATTTAAAACAGAGTTGGTCAAGCATTTAGGTATATCAGAGAAACAGTTAAGTGCAGTGGAGTTAGAAAAAATTAAATTCCAAATTAGACAATTGGAGTTTGAAGATAAAGAAAGGAAAAGAAGACCCAGGGCAGAAGAGAAAGAAAAGGAAAGAATGGTCAAGTTGAAAAATATGAAGCAGCTTGGACCTGAAGAAGAAAAAGAGAAGAGTTTGAACTTTGAAAGTTGACTATTAGACAGGAAAGTTAATTTACAAGGATGGAGCTGAAGGTAGAAGGTAGGCTTGGTGAGGAGGAGAGTGATGATGAACAAACTCATCATAGCCAAAGGTCCAGTGGGGATATATACAAATATGTCCAAACATTACCAAAATTTGATGAAAAAGAAGTAGAACCCTTTTTTCATTTCCTTTGAGAAATTCTCTAAACAGATGAACTGGCCAGAGACTATGTGGGTAATGTTAATTCAGATCAAATTGGTAGGCAGGGCTAGTGAGGAGTTTGCAGTGCTGTCAGAGAAGGTGTCAAGAGAATATAAAGAAGTAAAACAGGCTATCTTGACTGTCAATGAATTGATACCAATAGCATATAGACAATGGTTCAGAAATATAAGAAAGGAACCAGGTCAGACTTAAATGAATTTTGGAAGAAGTAAACAGAGCAACTTTGATAAATGGGTGAGAGCATTAAAGATAGAAAAGGCATAGGAGGATCTTAGAGATGTTATTTGCTGGAGAAGTTTAAAAGCACACTTCCAGAAGTGATAAGAACCAATGTTGAGGAACAGAAAAATAAAACAACAAGAAAAGCCGCAGAGATGGCAGACGAACATGCATTAGTACACAAGTCGAAATCTAGCTTCTGACAGCAATTTCATCCCATGAGGGATAGAAATTGGGAAAGAGGGAGATCCTTCAATGAAAAACAAAAAACTTAGATCACACTGGAAACAGTTTACCACTTGTGAAAAAAGAAACCCAAAGGGTGGAAAAGCGATGAAAGACCTCAGGTGTTTTCACACAATGAAGGTGGGACACACAAAGTCACAGTGCTGGTGGATTAGAAAAGGCACTGGGAAAAAGGATGTGGTAAAAGAGGCTAAACCAGTGGGATTAATTGAGGCAGTGAAGGAAATCCCAAGAGAAGTCATGGAGTTCAGGAGAGTGCACAGCCTCATCACTAAAACCAAAAGTGGGAACCAATATTTGCTAACCATAATGGATGTATCTACCAGGTTTCTGGAAGTAATTCCATTATGGAATGTCAAGGCAAAAAATGTTGTGGAGGAGTTGCTTGCTTTCTTTAACCATTCAGGACTACACAGGGAGATTTTACTGTAAAACTACTTAAGGAGGCCATGGATAGTTTAGGCACCTAACACTTTAAATCAAGTACATACCACCCTGAATCCCGGGGAGCATTGGAAAGGTAATGTCAGACCCTAAAGACAATGCTGAGGGCTTATTGCCAGGATTACACAAATAATTGGGATAAAGATATCCATTTTTAATATTTGCTGTTAGAGATGCTCCAAATGAATCAACTCAGTTTACTCCATTTGAATTGATGTTTGGACACGAAGTAAGAGGGCCTTTAAAATTAATTAGAGAAAAGTTGATAGGTCTGAAGTCAGAGATCTCATAGTTGAATTATGTATCTGAGGTGAGAGAAAGATTAAACACAGTAGGTGAATTAGCTAGACAACTTTTGAAGTTGGCACAGCATATAATGAAGCAAGAAGCTGATAAGAAATCTAAAATTTGTACGTTTGCCCATGGAGATAAAGTATTGGTACAGTTACCAATAGTAGGAGATGCTTCAAAGCAAGGTTTAACGGTCCCTATCAGATTGAGAAGAAGTTAAGTCAGGTGAATTATCTGGTAAAGATGCCAGATAGGGGGTAAAAATTATCGGGTATGTCATGTGAACATGCTGAAACATTACTATGAACCAGAGAAACAGGTATTAGTTAATGCCACTCAGAGTGAGGAATCAAATCCGGATGATTTGGATTTTGATGTTCTTCAGAATAAGTTGAATAAAGAGGAAGTCCTTAAAGAATGGGATAAGGTAGTGAGCCATCTGTCCCAGGAACAGGAAACTGAATTGAAAGACCTGTTGCAGTGTTATGAGGACATATGTAGAAGTATGACGGGGAAAATTAACACCATAGTACATGAAGTTGATTTAGGGAATGCTGTTCCGATAAAACCACACCCCTACAGTCTTAATCCTCTCAACGCAGTGCAGGTTCAGAAGGAAGTAGAAGTGATTCTCCAAGATGACATCATAGAGCTGAGTCAAATCAAGTGGAGATCGCCGATTGTGTTTGGTTCCAAAATCTGTTGGTAGTCAACAATTCTGCATAGATTATCGGAAAGGCGATGCCGTGACCAAATCTGACTCATACCCAATTCCAAGGCTGAAGGATTGTGTGTAAAAAGTAGGACAAGCCACTTACATCACAAGGTTGGACTTACTTCATTGTTACTGGCAAGTACCTTTGTCAGAGAAAGCAAAAAAGAGACTTCTGCTTTTGTAACCTCAAATGGGCTGTATCAATTTAAAGCCATGCCCTTTGGAATGGAAAATGCACCAGCCACTTTTCAAAGACTTATGAACAGAGTTGCTGCCAGATTGACTAATTGTGCTGTCTATACAGATGACTTAGTGATTTTTAGCCATCCGTGGAAAGATTACACAGAGCATTTGGCAGAGCTCTTTGAGAGATTACGGGAGGCAAAGTTGGTCATAAAATTGGCAAGAACAGAATTCAGGAGGGCGGAAGTAACATTCTTAGGACACAACATTGGACACGGATGGATGACACTGAGAAAGTGAAGATGAAGGCCATCAAGGAATTTCCAAGACCACCCTCAAAGAAGGAAGTGCTACGATTTTTAGGATTGAGCAAATTCTATAGGAAATTTGTACCAAACTTTAGAAGCATGGTGGCACTGTTGACAGATTTGTTAAAAAAGAACATAAAATTTTGGTGGACAGAACAATGCCAGGCGGTATTTGAGAATTTAAAAGCAGTGTTAACTACCGCACCAGTTCTATCCATGCCAAATTTCTTGAAACCATTTAACGCCGCCATCAATGTAAGTGATGTAGGAGTTGAAGCTGTGTTGTTACAGGAGGATGATTGTGGATTTGAAAGGTCAAATCAACTATTTTTCAAAAAAAAACCCTCAATATCCACCATTGAAAAATAGTTATTGAGTTTGGTAACGGCCTTACAACAATTGCATTGTAAACAATGCATCAGAGACGGTTGTGTATATCGATCACAATCCTTTGACATTTCTGGAAAGATTTAAGGACAGGAACACCAGATTATTTCATTGGAGTCTTATGTTACAAGTATTTAATTTACAGATTGTACATGTTGCAGGTCGTGAAAGCATTATCGCGGGTGCATTATCACGGGTTTAAAAGAAAAATGTTTTTAAAGGATAGAAACCGTAGCATTCAATGTTATATGAATGTATGAAATGTGTAACTAGATTACTGAGCTATGGATATAATAATGTAATGGAGTTAAGGCTTTTTTTAAAAAAAAGCTGTCTTTTCATAATTTCGTAAAGATCTTTTCTTAAGCAGGGAGGTATTGTGAAATTGGGCACAGTATTTGTGGACTGGGAGGCAGGACATTAGAATTTGGTGTTTGTAAAATATTGGTGTTTATAAAATGCCAGGGGGAAAGCAGTGTGTAGTCCCTAACACATGCTTTTTCTTTGCTTAGAGATTTAAACTGAATGCCTGTGGGCAGCAGCTTTGGGTTTTCAGGTGCACAGAGAGTGTGAATTGAAACATTTGTATCAAAAAGCCATAGTCTTAGTAGGCTAAGCAGTAATTTTGTTTTGTTATGAAGTCGACAAGTTTTGATTTTAGCCAACAATATGAATCAAGCACTTAGAGACCAAGAAATAAGTATTAAACCTGATGGTTTTGATAACAAAGGACTAATCTTGTTGTAAGAAATTGAGATGTCATCAAGGGTATAAAAGGAGAGGGCAATTGGAAAATCAGGAGAATAAGAACATAAGAACTAGGAGCAGGAGTAGGCCGTCTGGCCCTTCGAGCCTGCTCCGCCATTCAATAAGATCACTATTTTCACATACCTGGCCAAAGTTCCAGGAAACACTGTGGATGAAGTTACTGTTTCCAACGTAAATAGATCCAGTTTCATTCATCACATATTCCTCTCGCTTAGCATCACTGTTCAGAAAAACCTCATCCTCTGAAAGTAGATGGAATATTAAGCAAACCATATGGGATGTATATTCAAAATAACAATTATAGATCTGCAACTGAAATGCACTGATTCCAGATAAATGTACGAAAATTAATTGAATGCACACAAGATAGTGAGGTAACCACTCCAGTGTGACAAAGCTGAAGTAATGGCATGTATTTGCAACTAGAAACACTCAGGGCATAATCATTTTCAATTTTTCATCAGAGGTCCCAGGCATCAGATACCATTCTTCAAGCAATTGATTTCACTTCATGTGAAATCAAGAAAGATTAAGTGTACTGTCTAGAACAAAGGTTATGGGTCCTGATAACATTTCAGTATTAGTGCTGAAGACCTGAGCTCTAGAACAATCTGTACCTCAGGAAGAACCGCTCAGTGCAGTTACATCAGTAAGCTGTTAATCATCAATTAAGTGATGGAAGATGTTTTTGACAATAATGTGCACCCACAACAACCTGCTTAGCAATGATCAATTTGTGCTCCTGCAAAACTTCACATTTTCAAACCTTATTGTTGCAAGCATGGAAAAGATAGAGCTGGATTCGATATGAGGTAACAGTAGCTGCACTTGATATCAAGGCACTCTGGCAAAATTGAGTCATTAAGAGCAGCGCGGTGGTACAGTGGTTAGCACTGCAGCCTCACAGCGCCAGGGACCTAGGTTCAATTCTACCCTCAGGTGAGCGTCTGTGTGGAGTTTGCACATTCTCCCTGTGTCTGTGTGGGTTTCCCCTGGTTGCTCTGGTTTCCTCTCAGTCCAAAGATGTACAGTGTAGGTGGATTGGCCATGCTAAATTGCCTGTAGTGTTTAGGTGGGTTAGATGTGGGGAAATGCAGGGGTAGGGAGCTGTGTCTGGGTGGGATGCTCTTCGGAGGGGCGGTGTGGACTTACTGGGCTGAATGGCCTGTTCCCACACTGTAGGGATTCTGTGAAGTTTCCTGTGAACATTTGCTGGTGATTGCAGTATTTAGCACCATTTGTAACTCTTTAGATAATGAAGAAGTCTCAGCCTGCAAGCATCTGTGCAGCATTCAGGCTTGAACTGATAAGTGGCAAGTAACATTTGTGCCTCGCAAATGCTGGTGGGTAACTGTCATTGACAAGAGAAGGTCTGAAAACCTCATCTTGGCAGTCAATTGCATTATGTTTGTTGAATCTCCACAATCTATATCCTTGGGGTCACTATGGCCAAGAAACTTAACTGCACCACCCTTATAAATAAATATTACAGTCTCCAGAGCAAATCAGAGGTTGAGTGATTTGCAGAAACTTATAACCCATTCCTGATGCACAAGTCCAATATCTACAAATTAGGAGTGTAACAGAATGTCAACTTGCCTAGTTGAGCACAGTTTCAACAAACTCAAGAACCTTGACTCCATTCAGGACAAGACTACCTGCTTAATCGTTACCGCAGTCACCATTTTAAATACTCACTCACTCTACTGCCAGTGTTTGCAATGCATGATATTTACAAGGTCATAGAGACAAAAGAACATACAACATGGAAACAGACCCCTTGGTTCAACTCATTCATGCTATTCAGGTTTCCCAAACTAAACTACTCCCATTTTCCTGCATTTGGCCCGTAGCCCTCTAAACCTTTTCTATTTGTGTACCTGTCCAAATACCTTTTAAATGTTGTAACTGTACCTACCTCTTATCACTTCCTCTGGCAGCTTTTTCCACATATGAACCACCCTCTGTGTGAAAACGTTGGTCCTCAGAGTCTGTTTAAATCTTTCTTTTCTCACCTTAAAATTATGCCCTCTAGTTTTGGTCTTTCCTACCCAAGGGAAAAGGCTTTTACTATTCACCTTATCTTTGCCCCTCACGATTTACATGCATTTGGAGAGGCAAGGACTGATTAGGGATAGTCAGCATGGTTTTCCGCATGGGGAATCATTTCTCACAAACTTGATTGAGTTTCTTTTTGAGGATGTGACCACGAAGAGAGATGATGGCAGAGCAGTAGACATTGTCGACATGGGCTTTAGCAAGGTTTTTGACAAGTTTCCGCTTGGTAGACTGATTAGTAAAGTTAGATCACATGGGGTTGAGAGAGAGTTTGCCAATTGAATACAAAATTAGCTTGACAATAGGAGATAGAAGGTGGTGGTGGAGGGTTGTTTTTTGAACTGAAGGCCTGTGACCAATGGTATCCCGCAGGGATCGGTGTTGGGTCCACTTTTGTTTGTTATTGATATAAATGATTTGGATGAGAATACAGGAAGCATGTTTAGTAAGTTTGCGAATGATACCAAAATAGGTGGTATGGTGGACAGTGAAGAAGGTTATCTAAGAGTAAAACGGGATCTTGGTCAATTGGGCCAATGGGCCAAAGAGTGGCAGGTGGAGTTTAGATAAATGTGAGGTGTTGCATTTTAGTAAGACAGACAAAGGCAGGAAGCAGAGTTAATGGTAGAGCCCTGGAGTGTGTTGCCAAACAGAAAGACTTAGGGTCTCAGGTACATAGTTCCCTGCAAGTTGCATGACAGGTAGACAGGATTGTAGAGAAGGCATTTGGTATGCTTGCCTTCCTTGCTCAGACCATCGAGAATAGGAGATGGGACATCATATTGCGGTTATACAGGATGTTGGTAAGGTTCCTTTTGGAGTGTTGTGTACAGTCTGGCTGTCCTGCTGTAGAAAGTATCATATTAAATTAGAGAGGGTTCAGAAAAGATTTACAAGGATGTTACCGGGCCTGGAGGGTTTGAGTTATAAGGAGAAGTTGGATAGGTTGAGACTTTTTTTACTGCAGGTGCACTGCAGTAACTCATCAAGTTTTCTTTGAACACTCCTGCCAAACTTGTGATGCTGACCAAAAGGAGTTGAAGGGATGTAGAAATATCAGCATATGCATTTTCCTCCAAGACTCACTATCCAGACTACACCATATATTGCTGTTCATTCACTGTCACTGAGGAAAAATTCTAGAGCATTCTCACAAACCATACTGTGGACATACCTTCACCAAAAGGTGAGACACCACCACATTCTCAATGCCAATAAGAGATAGGCAATGACAGGTGGCCTTGCCAGTGATGCCCATATCCTATGAGTGAACATACCAAATATAGTGGCTTGCTATTTGTAGAAGTACTGTTACTTAAAGGAAATTGTACCTGCACACCATGGGTTGAAGAGCACAACAAAGGTTCCAAGATAATACTTCACATCTGTTTTATAAGAATGCTGTAGTGTTAAACAGTGGTAACCAATCTTGGCCCTTGGTGATGGTGATATGGTTAGGCATAATTCACTGCTGGTGGACGAGGAAATGATGCCACTCCATCTCTTCACATTTATTGAATTTGTGAATGGAACTTCTACTTTAGTTCCATTTGATTTCTTAGGTTCTGGACCTAAAGCAAGACAAACACAGGCAAATGTGTAACAAGAAGATTTTTTTAACCACACCTTCATACTTAGTGATCATATAACTTGATTTCCATCTTTGTTTTCAAATAACTCCATGCTCTTACAGCGTCCTATCTTTGTAATCTTTCTCAGCACAAACATCTTATTCTGCAATTCCCTTAAATGCCTCTGGATTTTCTCTTTCACTTTTCTCCGTTGCTCTTTAAAAATTAAACTCTGACCAAGATTTTGGTCATCTGCCTAATATCTCATTATGTAGCTTGACATCAAACCTTGCTTTAGAACAGCTCATGATAAACACCTTGGAATGCTTTATTATGCACTGCATAAATATAAATTATTCTTCTTGTTATATTTTATATTAAACTATGTTGCTTGAGGGGTTCAGACACTGTCGTTTATAATTCAGACCTCAATATAGGACGATAGTCCTGTTATGTTTCATCAACATGTTATTTGTGATACACCGTCTACACAACTTTGGCATCAGTCCAAAGAGGTTCCTACATTGTATTAACTCCGCCATATAAACCAAGAGTCGGGTCTCTGAACTTACTCTGAAGTAAAGTAATGTTGTCAAATATAAATGATTGTTTAGCTACCATGTGCCAGTGGTGGCTATGGCTGTTTTATTTGAAAACATTTGTACACATGCAAGTGAAAAAAGATTCTTGTGTGTGTATGTACTTAACAAATCATTCAATGTTTAAGGAAGTAAAGCACTCACAACAGAAGCTTAAAGTTCAAACATACTTTCATCTTGTTGACCTGAGCACAACAAATCACATGTCCAATACTATAATGTCTATAATTCAGTATTGATTTATTAATTAGAAATGGAATTCACTATATTTAGCTTTTCAATTAACCACATATGATTTGTGATGAACATAGCGATCAAAACTGCTCTAAGTAAAACTGTGTATACCTTGAAACTCCCATTGATGGCAGTCTCACTCCACGTTTATTCAATGCTTTTTGTTCAAAAAAATACTAAAGCCTCGATCCTCACAGATACTTTCTGCACCCATCATCAATTAGTTTTAAATACTTAGACAGTGCAGATATGGATCCTCACATTGTGCTGGTAATTGCATTTAACTTCAGTCAGAGGTGCTCTGTATGCGTGAGTGAGCACCTGTATGAATTCTTTGCTGGGAACAAGGACTCAAGTTTCAGTAAGACAGGATCTGTCAAAGCGAGATCCAAATCGCAGCTACCAGTCTCAGAATTCTGTTCTGTAAATGCACATTAACTGAGGAAAGCATTGACGTGGCATCAGTAGACAAAGCAAACAGTGCCATGACACAAAGACGCTTGAAAGAGATTCATGGAAGAAAGGATCAAGGTGCAGAAATGGAGAAATGAAGGTGCTCTTTGGCCAAGGAACTGAAATATAGTATCACTAAGAGACTGGGGATCCTGAATGGAGATGAAGATGTACAAGAGACCAGGATCAGATCACAGGCAGACAGAGTAATGTAGGAGATGAGGAGAACTAAGGTCAGGCTGGAATTAAAAAAATGAGGAGAAATTTAAATTGTAGACACAGAGTAAGTTAGCAAGAACAAGGATAAAGACACGAAAAAGAGCGGCAGCAATAGGTCAGGTGTCCCTTGGAACGGCTCCACTATTTAAGACAATCTTGGCCGATCTGATGTGCTCTTAACTCAATCTTTCCCCATTACTTTGATTCCTTTGTCAATCAAAATTCTGTTAAATCCAATCATGAAGATAATCAATAAGCCAGCATCCAATGCTCTCTGCAGAAGAGAATTCCAAAGACTAATGACCTTGCTGGAGAAATAATCTCTTTTCATCTCTATTCTAAACGAGAAATCTCTTATTTTGAAAACCTTCATTCTAGGTTCCCTTATGAAGCATCCATCCTATCAAGCACCCTCAGAATCTGATTTGTTTCAATACAAAAGGCTCTCATTCTTCTAAATTCAAATCAAATAATCTGCTCATAAGATATCCCCTTCATCTCAGGAGTCAGCCTTCTTTGGACTGCTTCAGGAAAATTCTTCTTTAAGAAAGAAAATCAAAACTGCACTTAGTACTGTAGGTGAGGTCTCCCAAATGTCCTACAAAATTGGAACACGACTTCCCCACTTCTATATACTATCCTCCTCACTATAAGGCAAACTTTCAATTTACCTTCTGAATTACTTGCTGCATCTGCATAAAGTTTTTTTTTTAAAATTGATATACAATGATACCTAGGTCCCACTGAACTGCAACAGCCTGTAGACTCTCTACATTTAAATAATACTCTGCTTTTCTATTCCTGCCAACGTAGGAAGCTTCACATCTTCCTACATTATATTCCATCTGTCAGATCTTTACCCACTCACTTAACCTGTCTGTGTCCTTTTGCAAGTCTTTATGTCCTCCTCTCAAATTGTTTCACGACCTATCTTCTTATTGTTGGCAAGTGCAACACTGTTGCCTCCTTCATCCAGTAGGTCATAGATAGTTGAGGCCCCTGTACCAATCCCAGCAGCACTCCACTAGAAACAGTTTGTGAATCTGCAAATTACCCCTTCATTCCACCTTTCTGTTTCCCGCTCGTGTGCCAATCTTCTAATCATGTTCATGTATCACCCCCCAATACTGTTCGTTCTTATCATGTGTAGAACTTTCTGATGAAGTGGAACCTGAAATGCACAGTAACAGGCCTTTGAATGAGTTTAAGTTTTCCCAACCTGTTTAGAAGAAGATTTGACTGATCATGGCTATAAATGATGAAATCATAAAGGAGAGTTTCAGCAGTAGTTGATCCGAAGTGTGGACTGAGGCTAAAGGAGGAGGACTTTGTGATGACACTTTACTGTGCTGCCTAGGGTCAAACAGGATACTAAAGTTACAGTCAGTTTGAAATGTGCATTGACCAGGAAGAGGCATGGGCTCAGTGATTAAGACATGGTTTGATGCAAAAAGTATGATGAAAGCAGTTTTGACTGGGAAGCAATAAGGAGGGTTCATTAGCAGTGTATTTTTTAAAAAGTTCTTGCCTGCTTACCCATGTCAAAGACCATTTCCAACTTGGCCTCTTCTGGATTGAATCCATCTGTGAAGTTCACCTTAATGTTAAAGGTTTGGCCCCTCCTGACGATCAGTCGCTTGGTGCTGATCTGGCCAGTCCTGTGTTCCTTGTTATTCTTCTCAAATTGAAAGTCGACCTGGCACTTTTCAGGAAATGGATTAGAATGCTGAGCTGAAAAATAATGAAGTGATATTTACAGCTTTTGCATCATTAGTGCCGAAGGCAGCAGTTGGATAGTTCACTGACGTCACTGAGCCCCGCTTGATGATGATCTCATCACCTGCAGAGCAGCCACTTGCGACTAAGGAGGAAAAGGAAGTACAATAAAAAAAAATCTTTTAATTATTAATTTCATGTAAAGTGCATTTCTGTTTAATTAAATGTGTACTACACAATGAGCTTTTGGTTTATTGCAAAACTTTTCATGCTGGCATCCATGATCCATAAGGAATACTCTGGGAGAATTCGAAGCTGCGCAGTAAAACCATTAATGGTTTTCTCCACTAACAGAATGATAACACCAAGCCAAAAAGACGTTTTGCTAACCACACAAAAGAGTAATGCGGTAAGTACTCCAGTGCCGGTGTGAGTATGTAGGCCTTACATCCCAATCACTGGCAGATGGTATCAAACAATAGGTCCCGTTGACCATTTGCAGCTGTCAGAATGCTACTTGCCTGTGCTTACAACTCTCAGTAAAGCACATCTACCATTAGATGTGATTCGGCCATTGGAAATCATTTACTAAATAATCTGGATTGTGCAAAGAGTTAGACCAGAAACTGATTGAAGATTATTAGCTGGGCTCACAAAGTGATGCATTTGTATGTGCTAGACATACATAAATATGCAACATCCTGTTTTATGTAACCAAAAAAGGAATCTGTACACATTTTGCAACCTTTTCAAAAGAAGTCATAAAGACAGCCAGACTTTGTCACATCCCTATGACATGTGCTGTACAACCAGAATCTAGCTGCCTGATCTGAGAATTAAGATTGACAGTTAACTGTTCTCATTATATTTCCACTCAATGATCGCCTAACCAATCAGTGTCCTCTTCTCATGAGTATAATGATGTGGTGATTTGTTTTCTTTCAAATCTCAGCTTAGAATTCTGCCTGCATTTCTGGCTGCCTCATCATAGCTTGGATACAGGGGCACTGGATAGGGTGCAGAGAAGATGTGCAAGGTTGATAACAGAGATGCATGGTTATGTATGTTAGGATAGGCCAGCATCCTTTGAAAGCAGAAGGCTGATTGGTGACCCAACAGGGATCTTTAAAATGATGCCCTGAATTTTGCACTGTCATGGGATGAAACAACAGTGTGGTAGAGTTGAGGGGTAGTGTAAGGAGATATAAAATTGGGCAGTGGCAACACACCCTAGAAGAAAAAGCAATAAAAGTTGTGAATGACAAATACTGGTCCAACTCATCTTGTCTACCTCCAAAAGGAGCTATGATAGGAACATTCATTTACAAGTACTACATTTTCTTTACTAATTTTTCCCTCTGTCCATGCTCACAGCGATTTTGACAGTGGCAGAACCGTTGGATAGCCTGCTCATCCATGGACCAATTAAGGCCCTTAGGTGAATAATTAATGGCCATTTAAAGGCATCTTCCCGCTGCCTCTGGGACTGTTTGTATAGTGGGGAAGCAAGTGTTAAGTATTCAGAAACGATGTGGTGGGATAAGGATAAGTGTGCCTCCTTTTCAGTCCCATGAGCCCAATGGAGGCACGCCACAAGGTATTACCCCTTTCTCTTTTCTTCCCCTTTAGTCTTCCTAATGCACAGAGGGCCAAATACCGTGTCCCAGCAAGATTCTGGACCCAGCTTGTTCCAGGATCCATGGCTCCTCTCATTCAAGGGAATGCCCATATTGCCAGCTGTGGCTATTCTCCTGGGAGCACTGTGGGATCAAGACAGATGCTGGCTAGTTGGTTGCCAGTATTAAATGACTAAGCCAAGCAGGGGTAGGCTTCTTTTTAAAAAAATTCTTCCAGTGGTAACCCTGCCTCAGCATAAATTCAGTCTTGTAAAATGTTTCAATAGAGTGGAAACTAGAATGACAGTGTTAGTTTCCTTCCTTTGAATCAGAGGACTGGGTTCAAGTCCCATGTCCTCCTGAGGTGTGTTGTAAAATTGAGTGTGTTTGTGGTGCAATGAAAGTGCATCTCATTCCATGTCAGAAGGTTGTGTGTACAAATCACAGCAGCCTCATCACATTTCAGGCTCTTGTGCCTGCCAAGGTTCAAATCCCACCTACTCCAGAGATATATCCTAACAGGTTAGTTAAAAATAATTCATAGAATGGGTACAGAGATAACGTTTCCTCTGATGAGGAAGGGCATAACCATGTTAATTTAAGAAATAATAATTTTCAAATGAAACATTAATTAATTGGTTATATAGTGGGCACCGCATGGACTAGAGTGTACAATCTCCCCTTCCAACAATATTTTAATTTAGTCCCTCCCTCGTTTTCACCAACCTTTTTGCCTTTTGTTATTGTACAGCCCTTGGTGGGCTTTGCTTGTTAATTCTTACTGTTTAGTTGTTTTAACTAGTTAACTTGTGGTGTATTTTCAAAACTAAAATATCCAGATGGAAAGAGGAGAATAGCTTGGGACTGGTGTGCGAGAGCTGCTGATCTGGTATTATCAATAAATGCTCTTCACAAGGGAAGTATGTATCTCTTAGCTTCTGTTTGAATATGCTGGCTAGGGTCCAAGAACAAAGTAAAGGCTATTGATACAAGATATGCACTACAAAATCCAACAGGGAATTCAGGGAAGTGGTGGCAATTTAAAACTTACTTCCTATGATGTGGTCGTAGCAAACAGAATAGATGCATTTAAGAGAAGAGAAGTTAACAAGCGTAAGAGAGAGAAGGAATAGATGGTTTAAATAATAGATTTCGGTTGGTAAAATAGAAAAACGGAGGATCAAGTATAACCTAAACACTGACATGGATTTTTAAGTTGCATGACTGGTTTCTGTGCTCTTTATCCTCTGCGGGTCTCTAATTCAAGTTTGCTACAACTGTTTGTTCAGGTTGAATTAATTTTTACAGTTCCTTACACATTCGAGTTATTCTAGTTTAACATTTATCTAGTTTTCACTCCTCCCTTCCTGAAGATGCAAACTAGAGTGCAATTTGATCTGAAAGGGTGTTTTCTTGTTAAAGTTTACCCATGAATTTTCTTGGTAGATTGCGATAGTGCATCGCAGTTGAGAATTTGTCCATCCCTCCTTGCAGAACTTCTACACATCCAGGACATCTGAGCAAATCTAGGCTTTCCAATACAGGTCACTGGATGGTACTATGTATTGAGAACTTCTGATTTATTTCCTGCTTTTCTGCTCAATAGCACAAAGGTCAGTTGCAGTTTCTTCACCACTTCCCTGGTTAAGATCAACAGATTCAGCATGAGATCAATCTTGTGAGCTTCCTTTTTCTCAGAAGTGCTTATACAGTACAAAATGCTTTATGGTGGACTTAATGCAACTTGATTAATGAACTCTTGATATACAACATAGGTTAATAACAGTACTATTACAACTGAATACATTATTTGTCCATACTTAATCACACTGCAATCAATCTGAGTACTCAACATGCTTCATTGACTGTAAAGTGGTTTGGAATATGCTGATATTGTGGAAGGTACAACAAAAAGATAAGATATTTGTCAGATGACTTTAGAGCAATAACTCATACTGGAATGGGTTGTTGGTGTAATCTTTTCTCTTGGTGAATAATTTAGATAAAGGAATATGCTAAATGTATTTAAGCATTGAATATTATCCTTTACTGCACTGTAGAAGTTAATGGAAGTCCACACAATGGATATGTTTTACTGCAAATAGGAGTTATTGACACAATGGCTGATGCAGGGTAAGGTGGCATAGAGATTTCTTTACATTGATATTGGTTGGGTTACTCTGGCTAATTAAACCGATTGGCAACGTTTCCAGTTTTCCAAAACATGTTATAACAGGGTGCGGGTACATCAAACATTTAAACTGGGTGTATTTTGTTATCAACGTTATAACTGAACTACATTGTTTGGATTGCTTAAAGCATGGTTACTGTGCTGTCTGACAAACTATAGTCTTCACAAATACTGGCAGAGTTTAGTTTAAACTTTTCATGAATTAAAGAATCCATTGCTGTCAGAATCACTATTTTCTTTCAATGCAACATAGCAAGATGCTTCAGAGCAGAGGGATACTAAGTCAGGACTCAATGGTTAGCACTGCTGCCTCATAGTGCCAGAGACCTGGGTTCAATTCCACCCTCAGGCGACTGTCTGCGTGGAGTTTGCACATTCTCCCCGTGTCTGCGTGGATTTCCTCCTGGTGCTCCGGTTTCCTCCCACAGTCCAGAGATTTGCAAGTTAGGTGGATTGGCCATGCTAAATTGCCTGAAGTGTCCAGGGTGCATAAGTTAGGTGGGTTAGAAATGGGAAATGCAGGGCTACAGGCAAAGGGAAGGGGAATGGGTCTGGGTGGGATGCTCTTTGGAGGGACGGTGTGGACTTGTTGGGCCGAATGGCCTGTTTCCACACTGCAGGCTTCTATGTCTATGTTTCTATTTGGAGTGTGAAATCAACTATAGAGCAAAGTGTGCAGTTGGAAATTCTCTTAATATCCAAGTATACAGAGCTGGAGCAGGTGATTTAGTGTCCCACTCCCCCAGCAGTGTGATATTTAAAACTATGGCTATATATTCATATGTTTATTGATATGAAGCAGATTTTTCCAAAATATTCAGTTCAAATTTGATAATTCTTAAAATTCAGATCAGTTCAGTTTCTTCTGAAATAGCTTATTGAGATGCTTCACTACATCTTTAATTACAGGTTAGGCTTATAATATACAATCTTTACCAAACATTGTCTGATACACACTGTCCGAGGGGTTTCAGCCTTACACTGTGTTCTTTCCCCGTTGAGCATTTGCAGTGGACCTCTCAGACTTTAGTGGCTCCCTGGATCTTCTTGAATTGTGCCAATCTACAGCACTTAGTTACAAACAACGATTTGCTATGGAAGACCAGCAAGTTTTTGTTCATAAAGCACCTTTCTATGAGCTCATGATCCTCTAGCCACAAGTAAAGTTTACCGCAATATGTCCCCCCAGGGAACTGCTCACCGAGCAGAATGCTATGTCACAGTGCTGCTCAGAATAAACCTTGACAATAAGCAATGTATCCCTTCTTTGCAAAGGCATATTTCAGAAAGAGGTAGACAATGGTTTCTTCCCCACTACAGAGGCATGAGGGCAGCATGCAGTAATGCTGAGACCAGAGGCGTTTGTAAAGGATCTAAAAGAGTGGGCCCTATTCACTGCCACCAAAGCTATGCCTTAATGCTTCCTTGAAAGTTCTTGTGATGAGATATTCTGCCAAATGATTTTGACAGCCTTCTCCGTAAATCATCCTATCACCAACTCTTTCTTTCCCTCAGGGTCTCAAGGATGTCATGTGCAGACCAATGGACATGTTCAAGACTGCTTTTTGAACAATGGTTTCACAAATAAAAACACAGGTGATTCCACACTTTCCTTTTGATTGGAGTGTTCTGTGGTAAACTGGCAACAACTTGAACAGATACAAATCCTCCTGCCTCCCCCCCCACAACCTCTTAGCTGTGGCCTTGGCGATCTTGCACTCCAAGGGGAGTGGTAGAGATTGTGGGTGGGGAGGGGCAGGGCAGTTATTAGGAGCCACAGCCTCCTCAATGGCTCTGTTGAGTGCAAGAATTCCCAGCCTCCGTTTGGCCAGCAGCTCTTCCTCAGCAGGACATTTGCCCCTGGCGGATTCCAGATGACTACCCACCAGTGGCTTTGGCATGTTTTGATTGGTATGTGATCCATCAGGCCTTCCTAAAAAGGGAGCAGGTGTCTTGCCAGTTCTGCAGCTGGCACAACAGACGTCAGATAACAGTAAAAAGATGCCAACTCAAATTTTTTTGCCCACCAAGAGTCTACTCAACTGCACAGGAAAGCGACCATCATTTTGAGGGCCTCATTGCAAACATTTAACTCCCCTTTGTCTCGAGATTTCAGCAAAATATTTCAGGCCTTCCTGCTCCTATGATGCTGCTTGGCCTGCTGTGTTCATCCAGTTCTATACCTTGTTATCTCTGGTTTAAATAGTGCTGTCCAGGGCTGGGTCTACTGAATACCATCAGAAAGTGATACATTTTCCCACTCTCTGCCAAGAGTAAATAGACTCAGTTTTGCATTCTGCTGCGGTAACCTGTAAACCATGCATTTAAAATTGAACGTTAAGTACTTCGGGAGATAAGAGTATGCATTTTTTAAAAAAGCAGCAGAATATATTGTACATGTTCAATCTATTGATTTCTGTCCACATTCTAAAAGATACTAAAGAAAGAGGGAAAAAGATTCCTATATAAAGCAAGGAGAGTACAATCTCGAGCTAACAATAGTATATACCTCTCAAAGCACTATCCTTCAAGTATGCCACAAAATGCTTCGTCTCAGCACACACAGACACATAAAAGAAAATCCATTAACAAAGATTAAGCAAAAAGAGACAAAGGTGAAATCAATGGAAATGATTCTTCAAGATTTAGAACTTTGGACTTACATGTTGACATGTTGCTCACGATATTGCTTTCAACGAAATGATTTGTCAAAACACCCACTTCCTTCGTGCACTGCACAAGCAGAAAACGGCTTCTGCTTACAGATCCAGAGCATATATTTACAGCAACAGTCTGTGTCTACTTGTAGTCTTAGTAGTGAATTACCACACCTCTGTGGGGTGTGTCATGATTAAAAAGGGCACGGCACTGTTAAGAAATTAAAATTCATTATTTGAATGATTGCCATACAATAATGTAAATTTCTTCAAGGGTGGTCCATTGCACAATATTTGAGTAAGGTAGATAAGAATTAGAATCAGGATATCCTTCTAGATCCACTTGCTCCTCTCCCCTTGAAAAAGAAATGTACAGTGCCTTTTTCCTACAAAGACTACTTTTTATGAAGCAGGAACATCATTCATGATATGCTTTCTTTGCATTTGAATTTTTTGACAAATTAAATAACCAGTCCCAACTACTATAGCATTACTCCACGCTATAGGTAGGAGGCTGGAAAAGCACAGCAGGTCTGACAGCATCCGAGAGACAGGAAAGTCAACGCTTGGGGCCACAACCCTTTGTCAGGACTGGGGAGGGGGACGGGAGCCCAGAAATAATTGGGCTGAGAGTGGGGCTGTGGGAAGGGTGGGAGAGATGGTGATAGGTGGAAGCAGGTAGGAGGTCATTGCGATTGGTCCATGGGAAGGGTGGAACAGATAGTTGAGTAGGAAGATGGACAGGTTGGGTCAGGCCAGGGACATGAGGGGTAGGGGGGAGGGCTGGACATGGGATAAGGCTGGGGGTGGAGAGATTTTGAAGGTAGTGAAGTCAATGTTAAGGCCATTGGACTGTAAGCTCCCATGGCGAAATATCAGGTGTTGTTCCTCCAGTTTACTTTTGGCCTCACTGACAATGGAGGAGGCCACGGATGGACATGTCATCAGGGGAGTGGGAGGGAGAATTAAAATGGATGGCAACTGGAAGGTTGGGTTGGTTGTTGCGTGCAGAGCGCAGATCCTCTGCGAACCGGTCCCCAAATCTGTGTTTGGTCTCCCCGATATAGAGGCGGCTACGTTGGGAGCAACAGATACAATAGATAATGTTAGATGAAGTGCAGGTGAATCTCTGCCAAATCTGGAAGGATAGTTTGGGGCCTTGTAGAGAGGTGAGTGGGGAGGTGTGAGGGCAGCTGTTGTGCCTCTTGCAGTTGCAGGGAAAGGCACCGGGTGTCGTGGAGAAAATGGTGGGGAGCGTAGAGCTGATGAGGGATTCTTAGAATGAATGGTACCTGTGGATAACAGATGGAGTGGGGAGGGGATTAGCTTTTTGATGGTGGGGTCTGTTTGTAGGTGGCAGAAATGTTGGAGGAAGATGCGTTGGAGGTTGTTGGGGTGGCACGTGAGGACTAAGGGGACTCTACCATTACTGCTGTTGGGGGGAGGGGTTTTGAGGACAGAAGTGCAGGAAATGGAGGCAATGTGGTTGAGGGCATAATTAATTATAGTGGAGGGGAAATTACTGCCCCTAAATTAGGAGATGTCCTGGAGTGGAAGGCCTCATCCTGGGAGCAGATGTGGCAGAGGTGGTGAATTAGGAGTATGGAATAGCATTTTTGTATGAAGGTGGGTGAGAGGAGGTGTGGTCAAGGTAGTTGTGGGAGTCAGTGGGTTTGAAATGGATGTAGGTGGTGAATCAATTTCCAAAGATGGAGACGGAGAGGTCCAGGAAGGGGAGGGAGGTGTCAGAAATAATCCAGGTGAATTTGAGTGCAGTGTGGAAGGTGTTGGCGAAGTTGATGACCTGCTCGAGCTCCCCATAGGAGCACAAAGCCGCACCAATGCGGTCATCAATATAGCAAAGAGAGAGGTGAGGGATGGTGCTGGTGTAATTGCGGAAGAGGGGCTGTTCCACAAATCCTACAAAGAGGCAGACATAGCTCGGGCTCATGCGAGTGACCAGGGCCACCCCTTCGGTTTGTAGGAAGTGGGAGGAATCAAAGGATTGTTGAGAGTGAGGACCACTTCAGCCAAGTGAATGAGAGTTAGTGGAAGGTGATTAGTTGGGCTATGGGAAAAGAAGAAGCAGAGGGCTTTTAAGCCCTCCATCTCGGGGATACAGTCGTACAGGGACTGTACGTCCATGCTGAAGATGAGGTGTTGGGGGTCAGGGAATTGAAAGTTTTGGAAAAGGTGGAGCCCACCCCTTTCCACTTACTGCAGGGACCAGGTCTTGGCATGTTGTTTACCTGCCTTCCTGAAGAGGCAGTAACAACCAAGAAGGACAAGAAAAGGGAAAAAAATAGATATGCTTTCATAATCTCAGGGCATCACAAAGCATCTTAAAGCAAATAAAATTCTTTTGAAGTGCAATCAGAGTTATCTTATAGTAAACATGGCAGTTTTTGTTTTGTGTACAGAACAGGTCAGGTATCCTTTATCCACACATCCAAGAACCAAAAGATCTACAAACTGAAAGTCTTTTTGAAAGCATACCCAAACGGAACTAAACAGATTATAGACATGCTCACTCCAAGGCCTTTGAAAAATACTTTGTTTGAACTGACCAGACCGATAGGCAAAGATTATTTCCAAAGGCCTTGGGTAGTATTTCTACCTCTGGCCCTGTAGACCCAGGTTCAAGTCCCACCTGCTCCAGAGTTATGTCTGAATAGATGGACGTTTTTAAGAAAACGAATCACGTGGGCAGCACAAGTAGTGTGAATCACTTGCACCTGATCTTCCAACTGAAATAAAAAACCAAAACCAAATCCATTCTGGCATCATTAAACTATCAAAGAAATTCACATCTTTTGGCTTTATACTTTACTTTTTGAATGAATGAAAATCTGGAATTGCTCCACCAGCAAAACACCTCACATTCTGTATTGGCATAATTGCATTGCTTTGTTGTAATAACTGAGAAATCATTTTGGGTGTGGACATGACATCATCCCTGTGTATTGGAATATTTTATCAAGTTTCATCCTGGTTTTAGGCAAGTTAGAATTCCATGTGCAATATAAGCAAAATGGAAATTTTCCCTCCTCTGTTCTCCCTCTAAACAACTGGTGACTCAGTTGAATATCATTGTTTTTTTGTTCAATTTATGCTGACACTATAAACGGATTTCAATATCTAGTGTTTCCTATGAAATCTGTAGGTGCAAAATTCACATAAACTGATGCCAAATCTTCCACCCTAATTCACACATCAGCTCAATATCTTTTCCATGTCTAACCACACACTGATTCAATCAGTGGCAAGTCATTTCAACAAAGCATTTGGAAAATAGCAATGGAGAGGTGGAGTGGAGGTCATTTAATAGGGTAGATGAAGAGAAACCATGGGTGGTACTTAATCCGAACCATTGGATTAGGCATGATGGTGGTGGAATTGGGACAATTGGATAGTAGTATCTACAACAGATTCCCAACATCAAGAAACCTATCCCCAATTGACTTGAGGTAGATTGGGTGTGATGGGGGAATACTGCATGCCTGCAATGGGACCGAGTTCATTGACCAATCGACAAAAGATCCAGTCATTCCAAATATCCCTCGGCCCACTGCACTTTAATGGATGCTCCGAAATTAAATGAGAGCTGCACGCTGTCCCATGCCTCACAGAAGTTGCTCAGAAAACTTTGCCTTTGGTCAAGTGGCCAAGTATCAGGAGCAGGGAACACTGGAAGCTTTCCCTTTCAACCAACCTTCCAGTTCTCCCAGCCCCCAACCCATGATCCACCATCCAACCTTCTCTCATCATTGGTTTAGGATTACTTACTGATTCTGGACTTTTAGTGAGTGCACTGCCACCACTCTTGGTGCTGTAGCAATAATATGTTGCTGACCTCTGACTGGCCAATCAGTGCTTGGCAGGCAGGACATTTGTCCCTGGGTCCTCACTCTCAGATAAAATCTGATGGTGGCCAAATAAGTGCCTGATGGACACATAGTTACATTAAGTCTCCCCAAGGCAGAGGCATTCCCCATCATTTGGATAACCCATGGGCACGATTATAATTACACCCATTAAATCCCACCCTATTTATGCAGTTTTGTATGTCTAGGATTAAGGGATTTAGTCATTCAAACAAAATCCCAAACAGATGCCCTTAAATCACCTACAGAACAAACCTAAAATTAAACTAAATCAATAGACTGAATCTTAGAGGGGTCTGAAGGACATTAGCTATGGCAAGATATCTGGCAGAATCAGTAGGAAATCCAGCAACGCTCTTCTCAAAGTTGAGATCATTTTACACCTTTTTTATGCTTTTCACAAATGGCCTATAAAATTTGGGAAACAGCAAGTTGCCAATTGATAATGATTAATGTGTCTCAAAGTCCTTGTTGACAGCTACACTCACTTCATTAATATTCTGATTACAACCTTACTAAACTCACCAAAACAAACCAAACGCCAGGAAAACCCGACATGAAGGCCAGAGCAGGTTCTTAATAGGTTGTACTCGCTGCTCGCTCCAAATGACCTCTGTATTGGACACCGGGCACGAATGTCTCAGGGGACACTCTGCGCACTCCAGACACACAGACATTTGCACCTGACATCGGCCAACCTCTAAGATCCCTCATGGCACATCTCCAATCTACTTATAGGATGCTTCCCATATTTCAATGCTACACCTTCAATGAGGACATGATGGCTTAGTGATATTATTGCTGAACTGTTAATCCAGAGATGTAGGTAATGTTCTAGGGACATGGGCTCAAATCCTGCCACAGCAGATTTAGAATTTGAATCCAGTAAAAATCTGGAACTAAGAACCTAAAAATGACAATCAATTGCCAGGAAAACCCTGGTTCACTAGTGCCTGTTAGGGAAGGAAACAGCTATCCTTACCTGGTCTGTAACTCCAGTCCCATAGCAGCTCAGTTGACTCTTAAATTGTCCTCTGGACAACAAATGCTGGCCTAGCCAGTGACGCTGTTGTCCCGTAAATGGACAACAAAAACTGCAGCAACTAAATTTGTAATGCTGTTGTAAGGACACTGTTCAGGGACACACCGGGCTGGCGCAGTGAAGTTTGCACATTCTCCCAGTGTCTGCATGGGTTTCCTCTGGGTGCTCTGGTTTCCACCCACTGCCCAAAGATTTACAGGTTAGGTGGATTGGCCAAGC